GCACTCTAATATCATGTTGGACGCAAGCTGAAATGTAGTATGTTATAGATTTTGTGTGATGGATACATAAAATTGAAGGAGAACAACCATATTTCATAATGTGTGTGCATATATTGTGAGATTAACTACTTTCCTATTAGTGCTAAATCAGATTTGACACCATGACACATTTAGTAATAAACAGCATGAACACAATATGTAATACATTTCTCTGCATTTTGTAATAAATTATTACATAATGCAGTAGTTATTACAAAATGCATGGGTTGCATTTTTGTTTACGGAAATGTAATAATATGGTGCATTATGTGATAACCAACCAAAATGATTGTCTTCATTCATGGTTACAATTATTTTATGCATTCTAGCATGGATGACAGTGACTCAAAATTAATTTTAAAAATATACTATTTGTTCAGTAGATTAGTATTGCCTTCCATTGGTTAATAAGTGTCACTGTATTCACTCACTCACACACACACACACACACACACACACACACACACACTCACACACACTCCATTAAGCCATTATGCACTCAGGGATTAGAAAAAGACAGAAAATAGTTGCACAAAAAAGACCAATATGGAACCATACATAATTTCAAATTCTTTATTCTTTCAACTTCCAATATGATACCGCTTGTAAACAACATGGATGCACATGTTTGAACAACAGTATTACTTCAAACAGACTATGGCTTACATCTTAGACATAGCCAAAGATGTTCTATTTGTAGAAAAAAGTAGTAAGCTTAATTGAATATGCCTGGTAACTACTGTGAGCTATTCCAATAAACACTTATGGTTTAAACAGAGTGAGTGAAAACACTATTTTCCTGCCAGACACTTTCTAAAACCAAGCTAGGTTAGCTAGTGCAGTGGCTGTTAAAGGTTTGAGCTTTAATCTTAATCTTTTGTAACTTGTTTGATTAGTTGAGAAGCTAGCTTTCTCTTCAGTGAACTCTAAATGTGAAAACATATGAATCCTGCTTTGGGGATTAATAACATTTTATTCACATACCTTACAACATGATGCCTTCCATAGTGACTTTTGCAAACTGCAACCAAAAGGTGTTCTATACAAACAGATGATGTTGCAGGTAGACTTACTGTATATAAGTAGGATGGGTCTCTTTC